TGGGTACCCGAGAATGGCGTTGTACGGGAGGCTGATTCGGGCGATGTCGAAGTCGATGAGCTCGGTGCGGTAGTTGTCATGGGTGCCGAAGGTGACGAGGAGGCGGATCTGCCCCATGGGGCAGGTGAAGCCGTCGACGACTCCGGAGAAAGGCTTGGTGGGGCGGAGCCGGCCATGGGGCACATGAAGCAAGCCGAATGCCTCCATAGAGAGCACATTGAGTCCGGCTCCACCGTCGATGAGGGTCTTGGTAACCGCCACGTTGCAGATGCTAGGGGTGCAGAGCATCGGGAGCGCGCCTGCGCCTGCGGTGGTCGCGGGGTGATCCCCTGAGTAGAAGGTGAGGTCGGCCTTGGGCGCCGCCCAGCCCGAGGGAGCCCCCTGCTGCACGCGGGCGGCACCCACTTGGCGGAAGAACTGCTTGACGTGGCGGTCCGAGGGCGGCGCCTGCGAACCACCAAGGAGGGCTGCGACGACGTGGGGCGCCGGCACCGCGAAGCGCGCGATGAAGAGGCCGCACAGCTCCTTCCAGGAGGCCACTGAAGACCCTGTCAAGCTGAGCAGCCAGGCGCGCGACGTGCCCGTGAGGGCCATGGGGAGCCAGTTGGCCATGACCTTGTGGTCGCCGCCGGCCGCCCAAACTGCCTCCTCGTATGCTTGGAGGAAGCCTGTCGGATCTGCCGCGCCGTCGTAGCGAGGCGGCAAGTCCCGCCTGAACTTGGGTGGCCACTGCACCCGCCGCAGGGCGGGGGTGAAAGCTCGGAGGCCCTTCGCTCCTCCGAAGGCGCGCGTCGATCCGGTCGATGGAGGAGCGTCCGCCATGAGAGCCGACAGCGGAGCGCAGCGGACGGAGCGGAGGATCTTCGATGCACCCCTATCTAGCGCGCCAAATGTCAGATTTCGGGTTCCGCAAGGTTCGAACTCTGGGGTGTGCGCGAAGATCTCAACCTCCCCAGTCTGCCTACTCGCTAATCTCACAGCCTAGCTCGTCGAACTCAAAGGAAATGGGACAGTGCAGTTTACCCAGGTTCGGGCCATCTTGCGGTGTAAAACCCTACTCCTGCTTTGTGGTGGATTGGCCTTGAGGGGTTGAGGATGAACTAGTACAGTGGAGAACAACCTCAGGAGGTGTGTTCTTGAGCTCGAGTGAGCTGGCGTGGGTGGAATGGATACGATCCGCTCTCCCCCCATGATGGTGGCTAGGTCCTATTTATAATGGCCTTGGTCTTCCCAAATGAAGGCGGGAAGGGATCCCACAACGGCCAAATTTGAAGGGAGACAACTAGTACATCTTATCCTGACGAAAGTAGTCTTCGCCTGCAAAAGCTTCTGGTCGTGACGCCGTGGTGGGCTAGGCGACGACCTCCGTCCTGCCGTCCAGGCGGTCTTGGTCTTGTTGCACGGGAATGAAAACCTTTAGCTGATCCCTCGGGACTTCGCGCCTGCGCTTGCGTCCTTAGCACCAAAGAGGAAACTAGTACACTGCGCCCGCTGGCGCCCGCCTGGCTTTGGTCGTCATGGCTCACGTCATCTGAACCTCGCGACGTGAGCCTTGCATGGAAATCTCCGCTCCTCGGGAGCCAGCCTGAGGAGGCTGATCCTTTTGGAGGTCTTGGTGTCGTCCGCCGTGCGAGGCTTGGCCCATCGCGAGGGTCTTGAGTTGTTGATGTCGAAGCTGGGCCGTACCAGGCCGCCGATGGAGCCACGCCGTGGGCGCCGGCAGGTAAGTTTGGGTACCCCCGTTCCCAGAACGCCGGCACGCCGGCAGTACTTCATCCAAATGAGGCTTTGTTCATCGCTTCAACTTGAAGTACTTGTTGATGGACTTGGTTCCTTTTGTGGTGCGCTCCAATTGGCGCAGAAGAGTATCCACTTACTTGGATGGCACAACCTCATGCAGCATTGCCTTCTTCAACGTGGACCAACTTGTAGGTAAGTTCTTTGAAGGAAGTTGACGCCACCATTCAGACGCATAGTGATGGAAGTTTCTTGTGGCGTGCCTCACTTGATCTTTATAGGGAACTTGTCAATGGGTGAAGGATGTGTCTGTGCTTCATTCCAACTTGAGATAATCTTCGTGGCCATGAGTCCCATAAAATGGTATCTCAGTGTCGTTGAAGTCATTTTAACTCGTGGGAGTGGTGGACTTGAGCCCGAGAAGCATTTCTTGTTCTTTGTTGTGGGGGGCTTGTTGAGATTGCACTTGATGATTGGTTTGGTGGTGGCCCTTGTCGATGTACTCTCTTGATGTGGAGGTACTTGTCTTGTGGGACTTGTGGGCAGATTTGCCACGACCACCATAGTTATCATTGTTTGTGTGGGTCCCTCGCATAGAGTTCTGGGCGGATGAAGTTTTTGAGGCTATGTCGCAAGTTCTTCCACAAGTGCTCCACTGTTCCTACATGATGACACTAGTGCAAATAGTAAGTGGCTAAAGTGAAAGAACAATATCAAGTTACCCTAGTGAGCAAAGCTGATATGCTAATAAGTGTTCCCAAACATAACACCTACAAACTTGCAAAAAGGCTAATATATGGAGCTTAGAGGGTTTAGCGGACCAAAATCAAGCAATAGCGGATCAAGATATGGAAAAAATTGGCCAAGATCCAAATGAACTCAAAACAATGCAAGTTGATCACAAGTGTAGAGGAAGGAAACAAAAGGAACACATGCAAAGATAGCAGGCTTGTGCAACCAAAGGAATGAGCAATTTTTTTTTGGCCAAACGAAGACTAATGCTCGTGTTGCACAAACACAAGGAGAGATGCTAACTTGATTGCATGTATAGGGCAATGGATTTGTAAACTTGGCACCACTGTAACGACTTGCAAACTTAATGTTTTCCTATAAGAAGTATACTTCATGTATTTATTTTGCTCTTTCTCTTGCTTATAAGCTTTTCTTTCTTTTTTATTTTGTTTTTTTAAAGCTTTTTTTCCTTTGCTTTTTCCTTTGTGCCAAGTCCAAGATACAAGACTAACAATCACGAGATATGGCTAGCATGTACATAAGATACCAATTGATGCGCCAAGTAGATATCAAATGATTCTTACTATGTTATTGTTCAAGATAGCAATGATGTATATGACAAAGATGTCACTACGGTACTCAAGTGTACGATGCCGACAATACTCAAATAGCTAGTCTCAGTGGGATCAAAGTTTTCGCAAAGGAATAATTGGCTATCAAAAGCAATATTAGGGAAGAGTAAGGTTACGACGGAATGGAGAGTGTACCGACAGTGCTTCCGGCGAATGTGTCAAAAAGGATGAATTAGTGGCTGTGGATGACGTAGTTGTTGGTGAGGTCGATGTAGCGGTGACCGAATGCTTCACCTGATGAAACTTGGCGGTGACCGAATGCTTCACCTGATGAAACTTGGACGACCAAACGAGCTTGATGGTTGGTGTCGATGAAATTCCTCCAAAAGTGTCTAACGCAAATGATGTGGAAACCAATGTGGTGATCTTGGGCATGTCGATAGCATCAAATCTAGCCCAAGAACGCTGGAATTGGAGTCTAGAATGAAATGTTATGACCAAAAGG